TCCCACAAGAGTGTCCTACAAGAGTATCAAACAAGGGTTTCCTACAAGAGTGTCTTATAAGAGTGTCCCACAAGAGTGCCCTACAAGAGTGTCCCACCACAAGAGTGTCCCGCAAGAGTGTCCCAAATGAGTGTCCCACAGGAGTGTCCCACAAGAGTGTCCCGCAACAGTGTCCCGCAACAGTGTCTCACAAGAGTGTCCCTTAAGAGTGTCCCACAAGAGTATCCCACAAGAGTGCCCTACAAGAGTGTCCCACAAGAGTCCTACAAGAGTATCCCACAAGAGTGTCCTACAAGAGTATCAAACAAGGGTTTCCTACAAGAGTGTCTTATAAGAGTGTCCCACAAGAGTGCCCTACAAGAGTGTCCCACAAGAGTGTCCTACAGGAGTATCCCACAAGAGTGTCCTAAGAGTGTCCCACAAGAGTGTCCCACCACAAGAGTGTCCCACGAGAGTGTCCCACAAGAGTGTCCTGCAAGAGTGTCCCACAAGAGTGTCCCACAAGAGTGCCCCAAATGAGTGTCTGACAGGAGTGTCCCACAAGAGTGTCCCGCAACAGTGTCCCGCAAGAGTGTCTCACAAGAGTGTCCCTTAAGAGTGTCCCACAAGAGTGTCCCGCAACAGTGTCCCACAAGAGTGTCCTACAGGAGTATCCCACAAGAGTGTCCTAAGAGTGTCCCACAGAGTTTCCTACTAGAGTGTCCCACAAGAGTGTCCCACAAGAGTGTCCCACAAGAGTGTCCCGTAAGAGTGTCCCACAAGAGTTTCCTACAAGAGTGACCCACAAGAGTGTCCTACAAGAGTCTCATTTGGACATATGTAGCTTTTTGAAGGTGTTTGCATTCGGGTTCGTGGGCTCCATCTTGTTTTCTTTGTGTCAGCTGTGGCTGGTTTCTTGCTGACACTGGCTGCAGCAGCTGCTGCAGGCCTCTTCATGCCCATGGTGACAGCTGGCTATTCAGTATGGGGTGCCCTAGTCTTGAACCTGGTCGAAAACTGGTACTCACAATTCATTACTTCATATTACCTTTCTTTACTGTTTATTACTTCTATTACTGCTTATTACTGTCTATTACCTTTTATTACTTTTCTTTACTGTTTATTACTTCACATTACCCTTTACAACCTTTTATTACTTTTCTTTACTGTTTATTACTTCATTTTACCTTTTATTACCTTCTGCCTTTTTGGGCTGTCCAGCCCACCCTCTTGGGCTGTCCAGCCCACCCTTTTGGGCTGTTCCCTTTTGCGGGCTGTCCAGCCCATTTTTAGGAACCTTTGGGCTGTTCAGCCCACCCACTTCGGCTGTCCAGCCCACCCATGTGGGCTGTCCAGCCCACCCACCACACCAAGCTGCGAAGATTCTTTTTTCTGCCAAGCTTCTGTGTTGAAGCTGCTTCACTTGTTGAGCAGGAGGCTGTCCAGCCAGAGCTTTGACAATTTTTTTTTCCACGAGTGCGGACGCCGTGTGGGCATGGTGCACACGTCATCGTTGAAGAAGGGAAGAAAGGCAGATGGTGGAGAACGGAACGAAGACCCCAAAAAACCAACCCAAAACCAAACACCCAAGCCCGCAGGCCGACTCCACCATCTTGTAGTCTTCCCTAAACACTAGGTGAAACGTGTGAAACTGAGACTAGTGTCAACTAGTGGGCCTGAATTCGCAAAAGAAGAGGACTGCAGCGCAAACTGTGTTCATGGAAAGCCGCCTAGAAGGCTTCAAACGGACTTTCCTTACCAAGTGTTGATGACCAGCGGCCACACCACAGTGTGGCAAAACAAGGTCACTTTGCAGGTCAGGTGTCTCGCAATGCTCCAGCAGTGGTTGTAGTCAGGCCAACCGAATGTGCGAAGATCTAAGCAGCAATCCTTGGAAAAGACCATACTTGTTGCACAACCCGTTCAACCGGTGGCGCATACAAGGCCAGTCACATGCTGCCAGACAGAAATCAATTACGGCGGCAATTCCTAGCGAGAGAAACCTGCAGCTAAGGGTGAATCGGGCACCACCTCCCCGTGGGGAGGCAGACCCAACACCCTTCGGCACACCACGGTGCCAAAGAGGGGATGTCACATGTGTCTGTGCGGCGCTGTTTGATGGCAGAAGGTGAGAGGTGCGCGCAAGGCCCGTGTGAAACCTGTGAAACATTGAGCTCTCCTAGCATGATATCTGTACCTCTTTGTACAAAATTGGCAATGTCGGACATCAACAGCGGGAACTAAGGTTCCCCCTGGGCATCCTTCATTGCCACTATCTACCACCCGCCGTGTAGGAACGCAGAACTAAGGTTCTCGCTCCTATCGGCTCACTTCGCAGCGGATGGCGAGAAGAGGTCATGGTTCTACTTGGTGTCTGTGCATTTTGCTTGCCGTATATGCCTGGAAATCATCCTTTTCTAATGCTCAAAACTGACACTTGGCTTAACTCACTGCTCACGTCGCATTTGCTTCTCTCCTGACTCCGAAGCATAGCTTCGTTGAGGCTGGTGCTAGATAGTTTGTGTCGCTCAAGGTCTTTTGCGTGATAGGTCATCGAATGCTATGGTGCCGAAAACTTGCATCTCGGGGCGACCACGTCCCGCAGCATTTGACACCTAAACCAGTGACCGACTGCTGTGTCTGGCAGGTGGACGATTTGCCGTTGTCGACATCACCGCCACGCCGAGACCCTTCTCTATCCGACAGCCTCTGGGCACTTACTCCGTGTATAACGGAGGGCAACTATGGTTAGTGACTCGTGTTGAGGAGTACTGTTTCACAGTTGCTGGCCTACTCCGGACCCGAGCTAAGGCTCGCGCCCAGACCCTAACAGAATTGATAGCAGGGCCACGACAGCTGTGGATGGAGGGATAATCCTCTATCCTAAGCCAGGGGTGTAGCCCATGTCTGGGATCATGTGCAGCCAGGGTGGCCATTTCATGGCCGGACAGATGGCAAAAGCATTTTCTTCAGCATAAACCCCATGCCATCTGCGTGTTCCGGGCATTTTGACCAGCCTCCGAAGGGCAGTGCAGTCCAAGAAAGCCCTACTTCCAATATACTTGAGAGCAGGCGGAATGGCAAGCTCAACAAGGGCGGCACAGTTCATAAAGGCTTTAACTCGGATTGTATGAAGGGTTGTCGGTAGGAAGACTTCCCGAAGGCTAGTGCAGTGGCCAAAAGTGAATTCCGGAATTTCTTCAATCATGGTGTTACGGAGGTCAACACTGTTAAGCAGTCGACAACTGTCACAAGCGTGCGCTCCTATGGCTACAAAGTGCTTTGGGAGAACAAGCG